CTACTAATGATTAAATTCATTAAGTTGCTTTAGTTTTACTATAAACACACACACACATATACTAGCTGACGTACCTGTTCAACGCACGGGAAATACAAAAGAAGACCAGATCTGAACGTCGACCCCGTCCATGCCACTCTCCGTTGTTCTGTAACTTTGGAAGAGATCATTAGAATAACACAGGAAAAACACTAACCCTAGGGGGTTAAGAGCTGAACACCGACCCTTCTATGTCACCCCCCGTTGTGCCCTAACTTTGGTAGAGATAAATTAGAAAAACGCGAGGAAAACGTTAATCCTAGGAGTTTAATTAGGTGGGGGGGGGGGAGTCAGATCCGAACGCAGAACCTATTATAACACTCTCCGGGGAGTCTAATTGTGCGTGCTAAATCTTCTTTAGATAGGTCAAAAACTGAAGACGTGAAAGGTGGACATGCAGACAGACAGGGGCTCCTTGGGAGTGACATGGGAGTCTGACCCGAACACCAAGCCTCCTATGGTACTCTTATGGGGTGCCCTAAGGGCGCCGTTGGAGTTTGGTAAAGTTCAATAAAATAGCATGGGGAATACATAAGGGTGCCTGGGGTTAAATCAGGGAAAAAGATCTGAACGCTATCCCCCCACCCCTCCTCGTTATATACTCCGAGGAGGCCAATGGGTACATACAAATTGTTACTTGAAAGCGGTCAAAAAGTGTAAGCGTGAAGACACAGGTACACCGATGATACACAACTGTGAAGTTAATATATTTAGAGCATTAAGTATCTTATGTAAATATTAAGATTGTAATGATATGTGAACTATTTATTCCGTTGACAAATAAAATGCACCAAAATGTTCTAAATGAAAGCAGTTTAGCTACTAAGGCTATCTGCTGCCGTCCGTCCCTAATTTTGTACTACTAACCAGAGGGAAAGCAGCCAGTCAGCAGAATCTTATCATCCACGGTAGGAGATTGTCTTTCACTTTTATATCGCACCTACAGCTTAAAGTGCAGATAATAGCTGATCTGTCGTTGTTCGTAATTTTGAATTACTGACCACCCACAATAAGGAACTGATTTTCAGTCCTATAACGCACCCACAGCTTAAAGTCCCTGATTGTTAACTACTGACCAAAAGGGAGGTAGCTAGTCAGCAGCACCCTACCACGCCAAGGAATTGATTTTCCCTCTTATATTGCGCCCATATCTCAAAATGTGGGGAATATTTTGTGGTATCGCATGGATTTGAACCCGTTCACTAGCTCCGAAATCCAGATCTTTATCACAAGACTAACCCATTCCCCGTATCCTGTATCCCTGCCTGTTTAAAAATGTGCATTTCAAAAATAATTAGACAATAATGTTTTTGCTTGTTAACCTTTTGAGTGTGAAACTGTGTTTACAGTTTATTTAACACTCACAAAATTCGATAAAGGAGCGTGTGATTTACTGCACGACGCTATCTTTGTATTTTTTCAATCTTTAACACACACACCCACAGATATATATATATATATATACTTGCCTAATATTAATTAAGATGATACCGGTTTCATATATACTTCGTGTGAAATCCCCACTTTTAAACAGTCACGGCGTTTTCTGCATAATAGTGAGAATCAGTTGATTTTTATTTTTGGTATTTTATACCGTAATCAGGCATTTCAAGTAAGTTTAACAATGAGTTCCAACTTTAAACTATTTGAAATCATATGTACCATAGCTGTATCTTAAGTAAAAACGTAAAAAAAAAGTTTATGTAAGGATATATACACAACAGAAAACAATATCACCGCGATTTTTCGTAGTTTTGAAGTCATATTTAGCACATTTAGTTTAAAATAGAATTACATCATACATATTTGGAACAGTTGTTATAATTATCGGGAATAGTTAAATTTCAATTGGCCTAGCAAGTGTGCAAGGACTGTGATTCTGGGAATTCGTGATTCTCGCAAAAACGCGTTCCGCACTTTGTGGCCATGGTTGCTCTATAAGAAAGACTCACAGATTTCGAGTCCAGCTCCCTAACAAGCTGGCCATGCCGGGCCAGGGACACGACATATATAATATGTCAAATCCCCGTCCCACCAAACATGCTCGTCCTTTCACCCTTGGGGAGGGGGTTATAATGTTACGGTCAATCCCACTATTCGTTGGTTAAAAGAGTAGCCCAAGAGTTGGCGGCGGGAGGTGATGACTAGTTGCCTTCCTTCTAGTCTTTCACTGCTAAATTAGGGATGGCTAGCGCAGATAGCCCTCGTGTAGCTTTGCGCAAAATTCAAAACAAACCAAACCATTCACAAGTACTGGTGAATCATCAGGCTAGTCTTCTTGTTCCCGGAATGGCTCCAGCAACTATAGCGTCAACGGGAGAAACTACATACTTAGAAATACTAAGAACACGTAACTGAAAGCAAAGGAGAATATGTCATAATACGTTAGTCACACTATATCTGCATTCTGCCATATTCAGTGCCGGCGAGACCTTTCACTCAATACTAGGGTTCATCAGGTCAGCTAGGATAAGACAGACCCGCTAGTAGCCTAAGTGGTATATATATATATATAATTACTTTTATGAACAACGATTGTATTGCTTTTGAACAGATTAAGCAAGTGAATTGTAATTATTATAAAGTTTATTTCAGTGATTTGGAAATCAGATTTTTACTCTTAGGATTAAGTTCGAGTCCTGAACGGTCCACTCGTTTACGAGAGCGGCTATATTCCGCACATAAGAAGAAAAGTTTTTGCTTCTGAGTCCTATCACAGCGGCTTCTACAGATGTTTTCTTTCACTTCTAAATCTATTATTCCATAGGTAATATTACAACCATAAGTCACAAACCCACAGTGCTGAAATATCTCTTAACAGCGACGATACCATACTAATTAATACGCGCATTATAATATATACATTTTTTATTTGTGATATAGCATACACCTAGTTACAATGGTATATTAAATTAGCTGCAGTATTTACTGAGTTAATATTTAGTTCGGCAGCTCAATTCGATTAGAAGTTATTGCTAATGACTACTGAACTCGCAGTTGTCAGTAGCAGTTCGTTCAAAACCACCACCACTGGAGCGTCCACATAGCAACTAAGCAACACTCAGCAGCTGTGCTTTACTTTAGTGTTGAACGCATCCAGTAAGAACATTTCTAAAAGCCGCCATTACCATTATAGGACTCAGGAGCGCTTTAAACTGAGCGAAAACTTTTCCTGATAAGTGCAAATAACAGGGAACAACAAAAATAAATCTTCAGGACTCGAGCTTATTTAACAGTTACAGAACAGCTCTGCTGTTGAATGCTCCATATGTATAATACACAAATGTGTTACCTTCTGTAAAATTGTGCAGCTTGCCTTTTTGGTTTAAACATGGGGTATAGATATTACGATGACAATGAAGTTTTCCTAAATTTCACTCTTACTTACAGGAACTAATTAATTAATAAAGACTTCTTATGCTTTCGTATAGTTAAGTACATGATACATTCATGTATCACTGAAACAGTCTGTAATTATTATTAGTATTCACGTTACGTCCCACGAGTTCTCATACAAAAACAAACAAAAAAACAACAAAGCTGCTTTCAATCTTTTACGACGTGTAGGATTAATAGAAACGTTACGTCAGGAATATAAAGAACAACAAAAAACTAGTGGAGCGAGACAACATACGTGTATCCAATCTTCTCAGTAGCGTTAGCTTTTATGAACATATTTTTATCAATGACTTGGCTTTTTATTCCGTACCATTTTACTTGTTTAGGTGATTCCCCATCTGTGGTTGGAAACCAATGTCTTGTTGAAATCATATGGGATGCTCAAAACGAATAAAATGTGCTTGCACTTAACTGCGACTTAAAATAATTTTATTTTTAATAGCTATGTTCTTGACTAAAAGTAAAACTGTTCATACAGTATACGCGATGAATAATATTGCGTTTGACCTTGAACGCAAATCTCCATGCAAACCAACGACTTAAACGAAGTTAATATTAATAAGTTTGTTATAGGATAAAACTATTCGAATACTTAATCATCTGATATGTATGTATTTCCCATGTTTAAGTTATTTATAATACTTACATATACAATAACGTGCAATACACATCAGCCATCATTAATGTAATAACACAAAAACTATATATGACTATAGCCTATAGGTAGGTTTAACGTTGTATTATAGTTTATACTTTACAGCTATGGGTAACATTACAACACAAGCAAATATTCCTTGTTTAGATAATTAACTTAGAAGAAAATGATTTTATAAGCCTAGTACATAGACCAGGGAAAGTTATGTAGGTGAAGATTATTTGCAATTATAAGGTGCCTCAATTGTGTTAAAGGTTACTCTTGTTGAACTTGAGTGTTTAACAAAAAATTCCTATATAAATAAATAAGAAATGGGTGATGGCTCAATTGATATGGCTACAGTTTGTTAATGAAAACAATTTACATATAAAAAAAATTGGTACAAAGTAAAATGCACTTGGATAATTCGTAATAATGTTATTAAACTTAATGAACAAATATATATCTATTCACCATATCTTGTTTAATATGGCAAGACCCTAAACTCATTATTTTACATAGAGTTTTACATTTGCAATAAATTAAAAAAGTAGTAGATAAACATGCTAAGGCAATTTATGTGTTGTGCATGCAAATGCACATAAAAATTAGAAAACAACCTTTAAGTTTAGCTCCAAATAAAGTGGATTAAATTAATTCATATTTGTTTTTGTAATTGATATTTTTAATGAATAAAAACTTTAAGTTAAAGAATAAATCTTATGTGATATCAAATGAAACTTTCATTGTTTCAGTAGTATTATTCTTTGAATACAAAATTAACTTGGTACTTCCCTTTATTATAGCAGCTAAGAAAAGATTTCGTGTAAACTTTAAATTTAATTTAAAACCAATTGTTTAGGTATATCATGATGTCCTGATTTAGGCCTGGACGTCATGGCTAATTGATTACTGATTGATCTTTAAGGGGAGGAGGTAACACAGGAGAAAGATGACAATACCATCACCAAAGACAGTGTCAATGAACCTTTGGATTTAACAGCACTTAGCTCTCGTCAACAAGATGAAAGACCTAGAGGTTTGTTTTTTGTTCTACTGTTTAAGATTTTTTATATTTCTTCCCTACTGAAAGTAAAACATTCTGATTGAAAGACATCTTTATGATTAACTTTTAGTTTGACTCTTGAGTCACTGAAATGTGACACCACATAATTTATAAATCAAACATGATGAATGTAAGTCTTATCTGTTAATATCTTTGCTGTTGCAGTAACATATATCCATAAGTTACTAATGCAAAACTTTCTGTCAAGATGTTGTTAATTATCATACTTACAGATAAAATTTAAGTAACTCTGTATCCTTTTATTTTTTGCTGTTCAAATTATTTATTACATGTGTTAGTCACATTTATTGTAGGATATTTTTAATATATTAATATTTATCATATAATTTGCTTTTTCTGCATTAATACTTCTTTATATGTAGGAGAATGTACCTTAACAAAAAAGATTTTAAATTAAAAAAAGTATAATAGCATATTTGTATCAACATTCAGGCAAACCGGTCAGTCTGTTTCTTTGTTTTAATCTATAATGAAGTTAATATACTCTGTAGTTTCTCTGAGAAGCTAGAAAACTGTGAAGAATAAAATTATTTAAATTTTTTTGTATAACTTGTCATTTTGAGGCTTAAAATTCAAATAATTACTACTAATTAATAGAACAAAGTAACTTAAATCTAAAGATTATTAAACAAATAATAATTGTAATAATAATTACAGACAACTCAGGGAGGTGTATTGAAACAGAATTAACCAACTTGTGTATGTCCCACCCATATTTTACATGTAGTTGTTGTGAGTGAATTATCAGCATTCACTCTTTTGTGATTAGTTCTGTTACTATACTTAGGAAACAGGTTAGAGGGAAGAGTTTATTTAAAAACCCATATTTTACATGTAGTTGTTGTGAGTGAATTATCAGCATTCACTCGTTTGTGATTAGTTCTGTTACTATACTTAGGAAACAGGTTAGAGGGAAGAGTTTATTTAAAACAAGATGCATAAGACTAAAACCAATCACGTGTTATATGCTTTCTAGTGTTTGTCAAATGAACTGTGTTATTCTGAAGTTGTCTTCCTTTCAAGATCAAGTAATTTCTGACATCTTAAACTAATTTAAAATGCTTGAGTTTAATCTAAATTAAGAAGCATACAAAATTAAAAATATTTTGTGTAGTGTATGGATGTATGAACAACATAATGTGCAGTTTTTCTGGAAAATAATTGATTTTGTCTAGGATAGATAACTAGTCTTTGAGAATTAAGTGTGAACTGTATAGAAAAGTAGTATTAGAAAAAGTTTGTTACTTTAGATAATATTTTGTGTTTAAAAAAAGTGATTGATGATGCCACTTATTTTTATAAATGTATTTAGCCTTGTTTAAAGTCAACCACCTTCTTTTAGCAAAATTTACAATAAGATATCCAAGCTCCGTTAGAACTAAAATTGAAAACCTTGTTTATTTTTATAAAGATTACTTATACAAAATTGTTTTAATTTCTATTCAACACAAGTATTTTATTGCAAAAAACTGATATTGTAGTCTTAAATTTTTATTTAGTGAATTAAAAAATACCTTATACCAGGAAAAAAAAGCATTCTAAAACTTTATACAATGTGATTTAACAGGAAATTGGTTAAAATTAGTACTATATATATATATATATATCATCTTCAAATCTTTAAGATGAAATTTAATAGTATATATAATTTATTTTAAAAGCCATGTTGTCATTGCAACTAAAATTAATTAATGTTTCGACAATTTAGAAGCATTATTTAACATTATTTATATATGTACATCCATAATAATAATTTTAAATACTTAACTTAAAACTGTAAATCATGTGACTTAAACTCATGATAATTATTTAGAAACTGTTCTACAAAACTTAACAGAGAAAAATACATCCTATGGCTACAAATCATAATATTTACTGTATAATAGTACACTTAGAATTCTTAACAATGTGACTTAGCAGTCATATGTTTATCATAAAACTAAATATCTGATTTATGTTTATCATAAAACTCTAAATATCTGATTTATATTAATTTTGAGATACAAATTAACATTCTGAAACCATACACTTCATTACTGAATATAGAAAAATCATTTTGAAAGTAAATACACATGGTTACAACAGTTTAACAGTGAGATGAAAGGTATTTTATTTTCATTAATCATACTGTCTTGACTTGCATGTTAGTAGACGTAATTTAAATTTTTGTGAAATTGAGCAATAAAAGAGAGAAAAATATAATTTTTTTTTCTGTCTTCTCTGTGTAATTTACTTTTATAACTTGAAGCTTTAATAAGGAGGAATCATGCCAAAGTACTAATTTTTTTGTATGATTTAGCTTAAAAACTTAACCTGCATGCAGCTTAACTAACAGCCTATATTAAGCCACATCTAAGAATAACATTCTACATAAAATGTAGGTGCTAGCTTAATGCAAAAAAAAACTCTAATTTACTTTCTTTTTCTGTTTTTTGTCAAATATTTACTTATATGTACCTTTGGTAAAGCCAGTAAAAAAACAACATAAGAACTAATATATTATTTTTTTGCCAGTTTGTAACTAAGTATATCATTAATTTTTATTCAGTTTTCATACATTTTTTTGATGTTACTTGTTATTTGTAGTTCATTTTCTTTCTTTTTCTTTTTTTCTTTTGGTAACTCATTCTTTAAAATTGCAGACTATTTTACCAATATATCATAAGTGTTAGTTGTTAAACGGGTTTCAGCACACAAGAAAATGCCTTATATTACCTTGTAAAGTAATTATCTCTTTGGAGATCTGTAATTTAATGTGTATAACATACTAAATCATTTAAAAACTTGGCTTCAAGTTCTTGAGTATAACAAGGCTTTAGATTGTTTATAAAGTTTAATTAATTTTGAAATATGGCACATTTAGGTTCATTTATAATTATATACTTATAGTTGGATAAAAATTCTCCAAACTTTTGAAGTAAACTCCACATAAAAATTTAAAGTTTATTGTTTTACATTTCAAAATTTCATCAAAGATACAGTAAAAGTTTTTGTATATTTTCTAATTCATTTTGGAAGATCACTAACAAATGTAGTTAATAAATTAAAAATTTCAGAAAGAAGTTGTCACTTTAAAATTCTTTAGTTGTATTTTTTTGCTTGCTTTTCTACAAATTATGTTTGGGAGAAGTGAAGGTGCATATGTAAGTGGCATAGAAACAGTGAAGGTGTAAATGACACAAAGGTATGATAAATTTAAAAAGTAAGGTATTTTCTAAAATAGAGAGTTAAACTGTTGTTTTCAAGAGACTCAAAGCAACTCAGTGGCATTTATTTGAAAAGTATGGCGAAGAAAATGACTTCGAGTGTTTTTAACAGGGGATCTACTTAAGTATACTGAAAAGTTTGTTTGTGATTAGCATATAGAAAAGCAAAGACTAGCATTTGCTTCCCAGGTGCTAAGTTTAAGGTGTTGTAGAGAAAGTAGGTAATTAGTGGTTGAGAACAAACTAATATTCTCTTTTGCCTGGTACATATTGGAGCTAATGATGTTAGTAATTGCAGATCTGAGAGGTTATTAGTCCCATTTAAACAGGAGAAATAACATTTAGGGTAGTTCTAAATGTCTTAATTGGGAACTGTTTAAGTTTTAGATAAGATTGAGGATATTTTTTTGAGGATAAAGAAAGGTGTTATGGATCTTGGATAAGATGGGATGAGTAGATTGATTAGTAATACTAGTAGAATGGTTGAAAGAAGCTTGAGTTTCTTTTATGTTAATACTAAAAGCATTTGCTTTAAGTTGTTTGAATCAGAGGATGTGATGATAGCTAGCATTATAAATGTCATTGACTCATTGATGTTACTGAATATTGGTTAAATGAAAACCACGAAGATGTCATTTTATAATGCTTTAAAACATTTTTTAGAATCTATGTTAATAAACGAAAGGGGTGATTAAGTTATATTGTTAGGAATGAGCTGAAAGCTTGTGACAGATTGACTTCAGTGAAGTCAAAAATAATATAAAAAGTTTAAGATAAGGTTCCTGAAAGAGTGGAGAAAAAAATATTATTGGCACTTTGTAAAGACCACCTGATTAGTTATTGACATTAACAGGAATATGTACAGACAGATTGGTTATGATAAAAGTTGAAACAGGTTTATTACATTGTTTCGGGGAAGACTTTAGTTTATGGAAAATTGTTTAACGTAGTCCATTTTCAGTGCATAGGGCTAAAGAATTTCTTGAGATTGTGAGGGATTTTCTCATTCAGCATGTTAAAGATCTTACTAGGAACAACACAACTGAAGACCTTGTTCTTAATAGTGATGAGGATATGGTGCTGGTGATCATAACTTTATTACCTTTGATAATTTTATTGAAAACATTTGAAGACTTAAGAACAGTTGTTTCCCAGATTTTAGAAAAATTAATTTTTTCAAAAACTTAAATAAATGTTGAGAAAGAAAATTGGAAGACTTTATTTAAGAATAAAAAGAAATGTTAATAATGATTGGAATGTTTTTGCTTTTTCAATCAAGCTAGCAGAATAGAAATGATTTCTATTAAAAGTTTACATTGAAACCAAAAGCCTGATAAATGAAAAACACCTCACTTACGAGAACATAAAATTCACTTGTAAAATAAAAGTATTTGTTTTAGTTCACAGAAAAAACTAAAAAGCTAGTTTAAGAAGTTTTATTTTTAAGAGGGATTCTGAAAGTTTCTTGGCTGAAGACATCAAATTTGATAGGAATTTTTTTTTGTTTTTTTAAATGCTCATATTAAGTAAGAAGAGAGTCAAGGGCAATATTAGTCCTTTTAGAGATTTTTGTAGGGAATCTTATTAAGAAAGATAGGTAAAACATGATTAAAGTACTAAATGCCTTTTTTAGTAATAGTCTATAATCAGTATTAAAAATAGTTTTAAATTTGTGAAAAATTTGATGCCCTGGTAGGGATAATTTTCACAGGATTTTGTGGGACAAACTAGGTAATAATACATTCTTCTATGGTGGGTACATCATTGGCAATAAATGATTACAAGCCATGTTTCTTGTAACTTACCTGAAGTTGATATATAAAAAAAAGTTAGAGGTGGTGGTAAAATAAATGACAATAACAAGTTTTACACTTTGAATTAACACAAAATTGGTATCAGTACATTGAAATATTTTAAATTAAAAAGGCTCTACTTGTGAAGCTATTCCTGTCACACTCTGTCAAACTTCTTTTCGCCAAAAGAACAATGTAAACATCTAAATTAAAAACAATTTGCAACAGGAGCATTGGAATGTGGAAAGAATAAAAGTATTTGGGTCTGATTGTTAATAAAATAATTTTCTTGTACAAGATAGGTGAAAACTTATTTGCAGTACTGTGTTCAGTTTTGTTTTTTTTTACTATAGGAAGGATATAAACCCTGCATTAAAACATTGCAGGAATGAGATACTATAATGATACCTGGTTTAAGTCATTTAAGTTATGAGGAGAGGCTTAGAATTTTGGACTTGTTTTCTGTGGAGCACAAAAGAATTAGATTGGATGTGATTCAAATATTTGGAATTATTCTGAATTTGGATACCTTAATTTTCTGAACATAATATGCTCCCAAATATATTACACACTTCTAATCTGTATGAAAAAAAGAGTCAAATTTACCATATCACCCTAAAAAACATGCACCTAGACTTTTGCAATACTGTAGCCAAAGTAAGTCTTTGATGACAAGAATGTTAGAGTGGCTGTATAATCTCTAATTGAGCTTTCACTGTATTGCTTGCTATCTTTGCAATCACAGCTGGCAAATAACCATTGTTAAAATGTTATGATTTGTAAAATTGCTAGAAGTAAGTTTGCCTTAGTGTTGGTTACACCAACTATTTGATGACAATGTTTTGGGCTCAAAATTTGAAGGTTTCACCAAAATCAATTCATAGTTTTGAATAACAAATAAAATGTAACTATAACTAGTTTTATGTTTTCAAACACATCTAAATGTACAAGTAAATAAGTCTTAAAACTCACAAGACTTATCTTCTATTGATCATTTTATTTCAAAAATTATGTTTAAAGATATTGAAAATGAATGAGAATGGGAGGCAATTTTCACTTATGTCTTATAAACATAGAGAATTAATTGAACATACCCTCAAATGCAACATTTCTAGGAAGTATGCATTATCGTTCACAACACATGTCAGAAAAGATGTTCTGAACTGGCTGTAACAGAAAACATTTAGATTTGTTATCATATATGATATGCACTCTAACTTATAGGTGAACTTTTAGTAAAATAAAATGCATATTCTGAAAATTATGATTGTCTGTTATGTGTTGTCTGAGTAATGGAAAAAAAAGGTTGGAAACATAAACTTCACTGTTAAGGATGGTAAGTTTAAGCTTTAAAAGTATTTATGCAGTCTTGTTCTTTGGGTAAGTATATGGACATGAAAAGCTATATTTAAGTTGGATTATTATTCTTTTTGTTGTTTTTTTTTGGTTTAGGGGTGACCTGGATGGGCCAAATAGCCTTTTGTCACCTTGCCTTTCTTATGTTCTTATATTGCTGAACTCATGAATAACATCTGAATTAGAATTTCAATTGTGAATGGCTTGCATTTTATCACCCATGTCAACATATGGTTGTGTTATCTCAGGAAATGATAAATTTTGTGTGATCATTGTACTTGTACATGTGTAAATATTGTATTCAAGTTGTGTACTCTGTGGTTTTTTTTAGCTTTAGTTGGCACAATCAATTAATATTGATTCATATGATAAGTTTATTATATGGTGTATATACATATATATAGTAATAACTTCATTATGTGGCATCTGCTGGACCTGGGCAGTGCTGGATAGGTGAAAATTATGATATTTTACAAGAAACATTTTTACACCATGTTCATATTCTAAATTACAGTTTTTCTACATTATCTCTAACAATAAAAATTTTAAACAATAGTAACTGCTGTAAAAAATCTTAAACTTTATAAATAATTTATAAGTACAATATTTTAAATGTGAATCACAGTACAGGCAGCTAATAACTGAAGCTTACCCATGGGAAAGAATGTAAACAAAGCCACAGCAACTAGATATAGCAGTTTTATTTAGAAATATTGAAATTTCCAGTTACAAGAGCTTTCTGGATACAAAGATGCTGGATAACAAAGTTTTTACTGTGTTTAGTATATGTGACTTGCACTTGATTCAAAAAACTACTTTATATGTTATACAGTTAGTAGATACATGCAACCTTCTACTCTTTTCATATAACAATAGTGTGTGAGGTGATCTAGCTTTTGAGCCAGATTCAACATTCTAATCTACTTCAATTTCTCGCTGTATAAACTGTACTTTGTTTTACTTTTACTTATATGCTCAAAATTTCAATTTTCAGCTAGTCATGGTATGAAATTTGAAATTTATTGCAAAAATACTTGCTTTCATATAATAAATATTACATTTTAATTCCATACAGAAACAGGCTCATGTAAAAAGAATGAACTTGAATTATTTCTTTTGCTTATATGGATGCTTTTGCAACTGTCACACCTAAAAATGGCTGGAATAATATTTCACTAGTGCATTTTTATGCCCTGATTTCGAATCTGAAAACCTTTTTTTTCATATGGTGTTTTTATGGAGAAATTGAGCCCTAATGCCAGGATCTGTCATCAATAAGGATATGTAGGAAAATCCACACCTTCCTTACAAATAAGCCAGCTGGCCCAGTAGTGAAAGCTGTCATGTTTGGTTGTGCCAGTTGAAGGTTCAAACCCAACTTTCTTTAAATTACTATTTTGATAAATATTTTGATAACACTTTGTACAAAACTCATTGGCTATGTCAAATGAAATACTTTTGAAATATATGAGGTTTACATGTTATCTTTATGGAACATTTGAAGAACATAAGTGAGGTTCCATCCATTTATAAACTGAAGACTTACATGTAAACTTTATGGAACATGGCTGGTGCTGTGCCACTTTAGGTAACATATAAATGGGGTTGCATCCCTTTGGATACCAAGGTCTTAAATGTAAAATTTATGAAACATGGTTGGTATGTATAGTTTTATTTAAATCTCATAAAACATGCCTACTGTTGTACTTTACTTAGTACTTGATGTATAATATGTGATATAGCTGGTGCTGAACCACTTTGTGTGTCCTAGAAGCAAGTCAGCACTGCTTATCTAATATCATTTATCCTGAATTTACTATTTAAAATGTGAAGATCCTTTTACTAAAGTGACAAGAAATATTTATTAAAAGTATTTTTGATGACATGGAATATTTAGTTTTTTGCAATGCAGAATCGTGTTGTAGAAGGAAATCTACTTAAACAAACTATTTTCAGTTGGTGCATTTTATAAAAAATGGTACATACTTCAACTTATATATGTTAATGAAAGTTTCTTCGATAAAAAATGTCAAACTAGATTTCAGTGTATCTTCCACAATAATTTAATTTTATCAATGCATATTTTGTATTAAAGAAGAGAAATGCTTTGGGAACTGAATAAAAGTTAGGGCTTTTAGATGAAACTATAAGATATATGTGTAAAAGCAGATATATTTGATAATTGTTTTAGATTTTGTATGTATTTAATACATATAGTTTGTTTTGAAGAAGAGGTTCATAGTTATTATGGGTTAGTTTTTGGTTTGATTATTCCCTAGAATGACTTGTAGGTCAGTAGTTGATGCTACTAAAATTTTGTTGCAGCTTTGCTATAACTTATTGATCAGTATTTAACTTTATTTTTGCATGAGAGCATATTGAATGATGCATTAATATTTTGTTCGCTTAAGCTGGATAGTGTGGCTTTATGTTGTTTTTATAGCTGTGTTTGCCTGCACCCCTGTGCTTACTCTCCGGTCCTGTCCTCCCTATAACTACTGTCCTTTCCGCAAGCCTGCTGTAATAGAGGATGTTTGGGAGGGGACACCAGCTATCTTAAGTGACCAAGAAGAATGTAACTTCCTTGGCTTCCGAATCACTCCAGGGGCAAAACAAGAAAGCAGGACCGAAGATGTGTGTACAAGTCACAAGAAGAAGTGCTGTTGGCCATTTTCCTTCTTCCACTGTAAGGAGGATCCAGAATCTGTAATGACATCGGTATGGATTTATCCTCATATCCAATGTTTTATGAAAAACTAAAGTAAATCAAGTTTTAAAATTAATCTATATTGAAATTTATATTTTGTTAATGTACCATATTTATCATATTATTTTAAATTTAAAAAGTAGAACCTACTATTTCAGTTTTGTCATAGATCACATACCCAAAACAGAAAAACTTAGTGGACAATCTGCTTGAAAAAAGAGTGCAAGAAGTTTCATTTAATGTGAATTTTCATAAGGCCTGATGTAGATTCACACAAATGTATTGAAATGTCATTTCATATTGTTCTTACTTAGTAGTATCATATATACATAAATATCTGTTTTGAATGTTTTATTTGCTAATTATTTGTTTAAAAAAAGGACTATAAACATATGTATATATGTGTATGTACATATATATATATGTGTGTGTGTGTGTGTGTATATATATATACTAGCTGGAGTACCCATGATCAATGAAAGGTTACTTTAGAACATGAAAAGTTGCTTCTCTTATATGTAATTGTAAAAAACACTAAAATGCCCATAAAAACTGCAAAACGTAAAATGTGAAACTGCAACTTTGTATGTATCTCTGCATGGGCCCATCAAACTTTCATGCCAAATTTGGTGAACATAAATCAACAGGGGGCGATGTAATGATAAAAAACCGCAAAATGCAAAACTGAAAATTTGTAAGTATCTCCCCATGGACCAAATGAACGTCCATACCAAATTTGGCGAAGATCCATCCACACCCTGTGAAGTAGTTACATGGACAGACAAAAGACATTACTATCATATTTATATAGATACTGATAAGAATTTTCAACACTGATTTTGCACCATCATAGATAATAATGTGGGTATGACAATGATAATTCTAAGAATGTAATTTATATTTCTAATTTCATGAAATCTTATTAGTTGTATTTTTTTAGAATAAGTGTGTTTCTTTATGTATACTTATATATGTGCTTGAATATGCAAGACTGGTTGATTTCTTACTTCATCAACTCATATTACGCTCTGAAGCATTTGCCACATGAGAAGGTTGATTTATTAAATTCTGTATTAAACATTGTTCTTACATCAAAATTAGCTCAGTATTAATATTAATATTTCTCTTTTGAGCTAACATATTATAATTTGGTATATAAAATTTTAATTGGGCTCAGAATAATTGCTTGATGGACATTATATTAGAATTCACTGACCGGAGTACCCGTCCATTGGACGGGTAAAATATAAACTCATTTGTAACAAAGGATAGGAAATTGTACTTCCAATATGGTACTTCCCTGTTCTCACAAGATTAGCTACTCTCATTCAGTGCTGCCCTCTATGTGCAATTTTTTTCTTTACACATGCCACAAGCCTTATACTCCCCCTATTGGGATCGAATGATTTCAACATGTCTCTCATGTAAATCATATGCGTCACTTCTCCACCAATAGGAGCGTGACATACTCACATTATGCATGTGACTCCTTCTATATGCTTCTACCGAACTGTCGCTTCTTGTTTGGCAGCGCTTGTGCTTGAACATGTTCCTTTTTGTTTGTTTAAAGTTTCACGTTCATCTTTAGTATACTCACGAAGTGGTCTTCATTTATTTTCACTTCTAGTTTCTATTAAGACTGTTTCTTAACTTAATTTTAATCCCAGTTTATTACAGTCACGTTATTATTTATACTTTCGATTATTGGTTGACTCTTCCTCATTATGAATTCTGAAGTTCATGTTAACACTTTGAGGGTCACATCTGCAACTAGTATTATGTCTCAGGTGCGAGCAACCCGGCGGGGGATTTATCCTTGTTTAATTGCCTGGAGATTGAACATTACATGGGCCAACCTCTGTCTCCGGACCTCACATCACTTACCCCCAAACAAGGAGGATTAGTAGATGAGGACTTGAATCACCTATTTCCACCTCTTGATTTTTGCCGTGCCTTCCCATGCCCTGCCTGAGGAGTCAGTTAGGCCTAATATGGTCTTTTTTAGATTTCGTTTCTCAGGTATGTGACGTTTTATCCCTTTCCCTTATCTCTTATGAACTGCTTCCTTCCTTCCTATGTGACCAATCTTTTCATCCCTATTTGGTTTTTTTCCCCTCCCCAGATATTCGGGTGTATGCTGACCAATTTGCCTCACAATTAAGTGACAAGATTAGCATGCCTCGCCACCCACAGGCTTTGGATCAGTTTGCCCTTGCATATCATTGTGCAGACTGTCCTTTTCTAGACCAGCAATTTTTAGGTTCCATTTTACCTGTTTGTGGTATGGCCCCCAAATCTCCTGTAAGTCTGACCCATGCCCAATTTTCCCACTTTTTTCTTAGCTTCACAACGTTTTTATGGTATCTCTCTACCACCCATTTCCTCTCTGAGGCTTTCCACCAAAATCCTGATGGGTTTTCTGGGGACATCCTCTCCCGTATTTCCTCAATGTTGGCTCATTTGTCATCTTTGGCTCTGGCTTTACATATGTGGTTTCTCTGTAGCTGGGACCTTCTAGGTTGTGAGGTGACCTTAACTCACGTCCTTTTACTATCATCTTCAGAATTTGTATATGGCCCTATTTCTGCAGTGATATGTGTTTGACATGATCCCTAAGTCTTTGGAATCACAAGTTGCATCAGTACAATACCTTTACAAACTTGTTGCCCATTTATCTGAGTTGAAGCCTAATATGGCACCTGTTACCACTTCCCATCCCCCCTTCCCAACCCTTACCTGTCCCTTTATCTTGGGGAGCCTCGTCTCTTCATTTTCTTTGACGATGCTCATCACATCACCAACAGTATAGGTGACTACTTGGTAGGTTCTGGTCCAGCAGGAGCTTGGCTTGCCAATTTTCTTCATCACCGGCATCTTTTTATCAAAGATCATTGAGTTCTTCAAGTTTTATCACAATAATTCATGATCCCATTATTTTTCACACCTTCCATGTCTCCTATACCCATTTCCTTCCTTCCCATGACCAACTCGCAGTTGTTGGAGGCGTTTCATGAACTACTATCTCAGCAGGCTGTCGATCCTGTTCTACATCCTTCATCATGTTTTTATTCCAGACTCTTTGTTATTCCCAAGAAAACCGGGGACTGGAGGCCTGTCATCGATTTGTCCCACCTAAATTGCTTCATTCAACTGCCCCATTTTACCATGGAGTCATTTCTCTCTCTACAGTGGGCATTTTCTCTGAGCTTATGGACTTTGCCAGTACTTATTTCCACATCTCTATATCACCACAGTCTTGTCCATCTCTTCTGTTCATCCATCACGGAGTGGTTTATCAATTTTGCACCCTACTCTTTGGGCTTGCTTTCACCCCTTATGTTTTCTTTCAGGTGGTTAGAGGTTTTGCTCACCATCTTCATGCTCTGGGGTTGCAATTCCATCATTATATGGACTGTTGGCTTCTTCTGGCTCATTCTGAACTGGAGTCGGCCAGCCATACTCGTCAGCTCCTTCTAGTGGCTGCTTGGGTGGGCTAGTTAATCAAATTGGACAAATCCTTCCTCTGACCTACCCAAAATGTCATCCACTTAGTATCTTGACACTCATCTCAGTTGGGTCCAGCCTACTCCTATATGACTTCTTTCATTGAACTGTTAGTTTGTCATGCCCTTTCTGCTCTCATACTTTTTGCTCATGAGGTTTTGTTGCTTTTGAGGATGTGGTCTTCAATGACATCACTGGTCCCCTCGGTTATGCACATATGCGATCCCTTCACGATCAGTAGAACCTTGCTCAGAATCCTTTGTCAGCTCCAGTTACCCTTCCTCCTACCCTGATGGATGATCTGCATTGGTGGTTGGACAAGGCCCATACATCGGCGTGCATCCCATTTCCTTCTCCTCATGCAGATTTACATCTTATTATGGACACACCCCTTTAGGGCTGGGGTGCATGGGTCAATTATCAGAAGGCTTTAGGTCATTGGTCTGTAGACAAAAGGTCTTTCTTTGCATACCAACATCCTCAAGCTTCTCGCAGTCTGTCAGGCTTTGAATCACTTCCTTCCTCTCACCAGACATGTCTGGTGATGATTCATTCTGACAATTCTATAGTAGTGGCACATATCAAATACCAAAGGGGCACCAAAGTCAAGATCTCTCTGTTTTTGAACATTGTATATACTATATTGAGTCCACATGCACCACATTCATCTCATTGTGTGCCATGTTCTGGGTGTTTTCATTCTCATAGCAGATTGTATTTCCTGCCCCGACCAAGTGTATCTGACTGAGTGATCTTTTGATCTCCTCGTTTTCTGATGGTTGTGCAATCATTGAAGTTTTCCCCATGTAGATGGATTTGCCACATACCTCAATCACAATTTACCCCTCTTTTGGTCCCTGGTACCTCATCCTCTAGCTCTGGTGGTTGATGCCTTTAGTCAGGATTGGTCCCACAAATTCCTTTATGTTTATCCTCCTATCCAATTACTTCATCGTATGATCTCTCTCACCCATACCATTCCATGTCAAGTTCTTCTGATCACTCCTTATTGCCCAGCCCAACCGTGGTTTCCATGATTACAACAACAACTGCAACTTTTCCCTCCAGTACCTCTTTCTTTGTCTCCCTTCCTTCTTCATGAACCTGGGTCACCAGTTCTACATCCAACCATTCACATTCTTCATCTTCATGCTTGGCTTTTATCTGGCTCTTGGTGAGGAGATCAGGTTTCTCCCAGCGAGTAACTTTCCTTTTAGCTCGTTCCATATGTCCTTCTTCAATGGAGGTGTATCAGTGCAAGTGGAAAGTGTTCCACAGTTGATCTGCGACTCAGGGATTCCCCACTGACCAATCTACCATTGGTTCAAATGGCAGAGTTTCTTACACAGCTTTTCGACTGAGGGTCTTTGGTCCCCTTACTCTCAGCTTATCAGGCTGCCTTATCTCATACCTTTCGTTTTCCCGATACCACTCAGTTTTTTGCTTCCCCTGTACTTACTATGTTAATACATTGCTTCCGGCTTCATCGTCCCCAAAGACAGTCTACTCTTCCGGACTGGGATATTAATGTGGTCCTGCATTCCCACACTTTACTTCTCCTTTATCCAGATTGTTCCTTCCTCCTAAAGACCTAGGCAGCTGGTGAGGGTAACTACTACCATCCCCATAGAAGCCCTTCCTTCTATTTCTCATCTCTACCCTCCTCTCGATCTGGATAGACTTCTGTGTTTGGTCCATACTCTTCATTGCTATATTGCCTGCATGGCTTCCTTCTATTGTACCCATTCCCAACTCTTTATCCCTTGGCAGTCTTCCTCTGTTTAGGATCATTCCCCCTTTTACCCTCCCCAATTGGGTTCAATTTTTGATTCAGTTGGCTTATTTCTCCTTGTTTTCTTTCTCCTGGAATTTGTTCCAGGTTCCTTCTCATCAAAATTGACACCTCACCTTTTCACTCGCGTCTTGTCTTCATTGACCGTTGAAGGAAATCGTACAGTTGGGCATGTGGTCTACACCTAATATGTTCATCTCCTGTATTTACATCATATCACGGTTTCTTCTTCATCAGGTTTTTGTCATCCACCTGTGGCCATTCTTCAGGCTTCAGTGCAACATTGACTGGGTAAGTTTATATTCATACTTTTCTTGTCCTTTCAGGGGCTTTTGTTTCATTTACTTATTATATGGATCCTGCTCTGTGGTGAGTGGTGCCTGACCAGGTATTCTTACACTTGAAATTCTCATGCTTTATCTTCCATGGCTTCGTAATGTTCACTGTTGAGATGGGATGTCCCACAAGACTGCTTGTAGGTGAATAACCTTGCAATATAATTGTTTCATAAACTTTCCTGTTCCAGATTGTACCACCCATGGACTGCATGAGTAAAGCAGAAAGGAATAGCTGCCTATCCCTGCCATGCCTTGTATTGAATAAATTGCTATGGTCTGCTTTTCAAAATAGGGTTTTGTGGTCACCCATTGCACTGTCTCAGGTGATGACGTTCCTCCAGACTCCCCACCAAGTTCTCACCTTACCACTTTTCAGTTACAAGCTGCTGGGATGATCGATCATGGAGGCACCTTTCTGAAGTGCAGAGTAGGGCAGTGGTGTTCTTTGGGTATAGACAACATGCTATCCTCCAATATGCAATATACAGTCACAAAGGAGTGAGATGTCAAATTGCAGTTCACCCCTTTAATTGGGAACCTTCATCCTACCTCCACGTGGATGTTGGCAACCCGTTGGCTGGGTTTTGGATTTAGATTAACCAATCAACATAAGTCCTCACACATGTTCATAGTTGTATATATTCCTCCCTCGATCATACTCTTTCTGTGTTGTGGTTCACAGTAGAAGTAAGGGGTATTGTTCCAGTTTTGTCCTTTTCGTTATTCCTCGTTGTATTTTATTCTGAGGATGTTATTGTTTTTTGGATGGTTCCAGTCAGTTTCACTGTTGGGGTAGTTGATTTATATTATATAAACATCCTTTCGATACCAGGTGTTTGGGTCTCTGTATTGATAGATCAAAGCTAACACATGTGTCCTGCTCAGGAGTTGCAGTGGTTCTAGATTCCCCCCAGTCTCTTGAACTTGAGGTGAAGACAGTATGATCTTCATCCTACCCCTGTGTGGATGTCGGTTCACAGCAACATGGGTTTTGGATGTAGTTGACTTACCTAGTATGATCCATCGCTCCCTAGCCACTCTACACCTAGGGGCACATCCATTGTTTTACCCACTTTTATACTTTGTGGGATTGAGGTACATATATATTTACATAGTTAGGATCACTATCCTGCCACATTTCTCTCCCGCTTGGATGTGCTCCTCTCTTTTACACCCTTATATACTACACATTTCATGGATGTGCAAAGAGTATACCTGGTTCACAAGTGCCGCGGTTCCCCTCATCAGATCTTTGGATCTGATCATTAATTCCCAGGGGTATCCTTCGGATGCTTTCTGGGGGTACATGTATTGGAAGTTATAATTTTCTTATACTGAAAATGTATGTCTGATAGGTACTTACCTCATCTCACACTTCCCACCCTTCCTCCCCTCTTTCCTCTGGTGCTTATGTCTTCTTCCAAACCTCAAAGTGACATTAAAAGTGCAATAAAAATACCAATACTGAAAAGAAAGACATACTGTTTTCAAGCATTCTATCAATATGAATTTAGATGGGGGGTCAAACCCCCTTCACGACTTTCCTCATGTCATCCTGTATCACTGTGTCAAGTTATGCTGATTTGGTAGTTTTTTCTGAAATTAGTTATGACCTTTCTCATGTCATCCTTTATCACTGTGTCAAGTTTGGTGCTGGTTGATCAAGATATGTGGAAATGTATAAGGAACAGATATTAAATGATAGATATATGACTGTATTCTTTTCCCAGACACACACTTTGCTTTATATAGTAGACTAGCGTATAGCCCATCAGAAATGATGGGACAAGTACTACCATCCCCACCCCATATAATAATTATTGGTAAAAAATCAATTAGATTAACAACTTCTAATATATATGGAAAAGCCAGTGTATTTTTGTAACTCTACATTCCAACAGTGGCTTTTATGTCATGTTGCTTAGCAACAAAGTATAATCTAATATTTTGTTGGTCTATGTACTAAAAGTATAAAATGAAATGTACAGACAACAAAACTGCTAAAATGTTTGTTGATTTCTTAATTTAGAGTTTTGTTTAAAGATGTATGTTTTTTTATTAAAAACATTGGTGATATAACAGAAAGTAGCTTAATTCAGAAACAATTTAAATTTAAAATTGAATTGATATTTTTACTTTCATGATAAGCTTTATGCACTTGGCTCTAGGCTTGGTGATACCACACTACGTCTTTACTTCAGGTTTATTATACCAACATTCACTACACTTATAAGGTTTCATGGCACCTCTCCCTCACGGTCCCTTTGCACCCCCTTGCACCCTCGTCACTAAAATTGTAATGGACAGACAGTAATCAAACTATTATATCTGTATAAATGCATTTTGGCTTTTATGACTCTTCCTAGTTCAAGAAATCAAGCGTGATGTGATCAAACACTGGCTTTTATATAGGTTAGATTTTTAGTGATAACTTAAAGAGCAAAATAAAGTTGTCATCTGTAACTATAATGATAATTATAAGTAACAGATTTATAAAATATCAAGCATTGGAAATATATATGTAATGAAAAATTTTAGATTATACAATATTTTTGGTTATGTTTCAAACTTTTCATTTGGTAGTTTAATCTCAAAAATATACATACATATATGTTTATATATACAAGTATATTAGTATGGTATTCTCAGGTAAAATGATTAACCCCAAGTGTCACAGTGTAAGAGCCCCAGAGTAACAGTGGGTTCTAACATGAAATATATTATGAAATAAATCAAAATTCTTTGAACCACAATGAGTTTGTGAAAAACAGGTAATGGACACAATGTAAAAATACATTAAAAACAATATTTTCTTTACAGTCACAAACAGCAGTGTTTATATTTATGTAGCATGATAAACAGTCATTTTTAATGGAGAGCTAAAAGTTGTTTATTCTCTGAATCTACAGAAACATTTCTATTAATCTTTCTGAGACTGACAAAACTTAGTAGTATATATATATATATGATGAATTTCAATACTGTTATTTTGGTGTTATTCAAGGAATAATCATTAATTAGGAAAAAGAAAGTAATAGTACCCTTCCATTATATCTTGAACAGAATTAGTTTCAGTGAAGTACCAAGTGTAGTTATTAGTTGAAAGTTATCACTGTCAATTTCTTTAAATAATTAGGCATTCATTTAGACTGTATTTATTATATTTTAAGTGTTTTTTAATTATAATAAAAATGTATAGGTATTCTAAGCTACTGTAAAATACCAATTTAACTTTTTATTTAAGGTAATTGATATAATATAGTAAGTGTAATGTTATATAAAGAAATTTTTATTTCAGTTGTCTGTGGACTGTTTATTAATTACAGCCATGCACAAGTCATCCTAAATTTTCACATAAGAGAAAAAAGAAAAAGAAGAAGGCTAAAACTCTGTTTGAGTACAAAAAAAAGAAGAAAAGGAAAAAGATGAAATCAAAATCTAAGTCAAGATCCCTTGATCACTGGTTTGATCCCCCACTAACATCGAGTGATATACAAGTCCTTCCAGAAGATCTCAGTCTGACATCAAAGTCATCTGCTCTCGAAGAACCAGACTATTTATCAGAACCTGTGCTCGGAGCTATTAGTGCAATGAATTTAAATGATCATTCAGAGTCATCCAATGATTCTTTAGTTGCTAGGAATAATTATGATACTGAAGAACCTGATAAATCTTCACCTGAACATAAGCCATTAGAAAACAACAGGGTGATCTGGAACAGTTTTTGTAGAAGAAATTCTCCCACTCTCACATCATCAGATCATAAACCATTAAAGAATTACAGAGAAATTCAAGGCAGTTTTAATATCAGTGAAGCTTGTAATCTTTTGTCCTCAAAGCAAAACTCATTAGAAAATGATAGAGAAAAACATGATAAAATTAACAATGTAGATTTGTGTAGTGTTTCACGATCTGAGCACAAAATTTTGGAAAATAATAAAGACATCCAAGATAGCTTTCAGGATAAAAACTCTTCTAGTGTTGATTCATATAAAGACATACCTTCAGGACAAACATTATCTCTTTCAAGGAATTTAAGGCAAAACTCTGAGTCTGTGTGTAATAATAAACGTGGCTCGAATGGATGGGAAGAAAGTCTACGACCAAGACCTCCAGCAGCAGATCATTACCAGGTATTGTATTCCTTAACAATTTTTAATTATATAACACCACATTTAGAAACATAATAAATACTTTAATTTATAATTATAATTCTCTTTAACAGTTTTAACATTGATTTATAGCACCTTTAGAATGGGTTGCCTTCAGATGTTGTAGAGGCAGTAAATTTAAGTGAGTTTAAAAAAAAGCTTGATAAGTATATGAATAATAAGGGCTGGCTTTAAGATTTTTTTAAAAATTATTCTAATTTAGATTAGAGGATGGAACAGCGGAGATATACCAATGGGTCCAATGTCCCAAAACATTATTATATGTTATATGTACTGAAGTGCCTATGAAGATGGACCAATAGGTCTAATGTCCCAAAACATTATTATATGTTATATGTACTGAAGTGCCTATGAAAACAAACTGATGATGCTCTAACAGATTAGTTATATGTGGCTCAATTTTGAGACAGTATTATCCAATAATCTTCAATGTAACTGACAAGCAATCCTCATTGGGTATGTTTATAGTATGTTTGCCTGAATTGTGTGCATTTACAATTAAATCCAGATAACAGTAAACATACAACTACTTTAAAATATGAGGAAGAGTAATGTAGGTTAGATATTTTTTAGTATTTTTTTCCTTTCTACACTTTATGTTTTTCATTAATAATATACATTTTGTCAATGTCAGTATTAAAACTTGATTTGTGAATGAAATAAAATTTTCTGAAACTGTGTATATGTCAGAGCCAGTTGTGTTTAAAAAAGTATGTATAAAGTTATAAATATGTGTACAGCATACAAACATTTAATAAAAATAACATGATCTGTAACATAAAAAATAACAAATTCCTTATTTTTTCCTCATTTGCAATTTTTTAATATTTTATTATTAATTATCAAACAAACAAAAGCCGAATGCTTAAAAAGTGCTAATGCACTTTATATTAAAATCAAATGTCAAACAAAACAAATTATTATTATGGATTAAAATGCTTTATCGTTGGAAATGTTCTAGGTTTTTCCTTCTGTTTTATTGATTAATCACATTTACCAAACCATTTGTCCTCCATGATACTGTTATTATGTTCAAATTGTGTGTGGAATATGAAAAAAATCAAAGTAAGATATGAAAAAGAAAACAGTTGATAACAAGCCATATTATTGAAATTATTCTGCTGCACTTGGTTATATATATTTATCAGCCATGATGAAAGAATTGGCACAAAGGATGATGAAGAAAAAATCAAGTAGATTTCCATAAGACTCAAAAACTTGAGCACTTTCAAATAGTTGACTATTCTTCTTCAGGAATAAAAAAAGGTATAGTTATAGTTTCTAAAATTTCATACTTGCAACTAACATTCATAATTTTTTTGAATTTTATTTTTATCATTAATCCCCCAAAAATAATTTATCTTTTCTTTTTTTTTACTAAATATCAGAGCTTTATAAATCTACGTAAGAGAAAATCTTCATCTTCAACTGACAGTTCATCATTAACAAAAGTTAGCCCAAAATATTCAAGAAGTTTTACTGTCAGAGAAAATGGCATGAAGAAGAAAACAACACGAAAGAAAATTTTTCAGAAAAGTTCATGGAGAAGAAAGGCATGTATTAACTGAAAATGTAATTATTTTTTATCACATCTTGATGTGATAATATTCTTCAGTAATAATTTAGAGATGTTAACATTCCACAAGTATCTTTAAAAGAACTGTTTTTACCATTTTGATTATTAAGCAGTTCTGTGACTTTGTTACCAAAGTTAAACTTTAATGATAGAATTCAAATGCTTTTTTATATTAGAATCTGTAGTTTTACCATTTTTTGCATGTATTGTGACTTTCTATAATGATTTTGAAAGTTTTGATCAAAATAAGTAAGATGTCTCCCTTTTTATTTTTTAATCTAGGCCTTAGAAAACTGATATAGGTATTATTTCATTTAAACAGGATGTTAAAACTTCAGAAAAGAAAAGAGAAGATTTGGACAGTGCTGAAAATCCACACAAGATTTTGGTTTGTGTTTTTATTATTTGTGAAATTTTCTATGCAATTTTGTATTTCAGTAATGGGCCTGGTAGTTAAGGCACTAAATTCACAATCTGTGTGTCATGGGATTAAAACCCATCATCTAATATACTCGCCTTTTCAGCTGTGGGGGTGTTGTAACGTGACGGTCAACCTCATTATTCATTAGTAAAGAGTAGTTCAAGGATTGGCTGTGGGTGGTGTCAACTTTCTGCCTTCTCTCTTGCCTACCACTTCAAAATTAAGAGTGGCTAACTCAGATAGCTTTTAGTATCTTCACATAAAATTCAACAAATACAGAGACAAAATTTTACTAATGCTTGTAAGCTATTGTAATAATAATTGTTTTACTGTTGTTTTGAATTTTGCTTTTTAATCCATAAATAATGATGCTCAATAGCTTATTATCAAGGTAAAAAGTAGATCTGATCTCACTGAAATAAAGTAAAGTAATTGTTTCTGAAGATATTTGAAAGCTGAAAGTAAAATTACAATATAGAGCATAAGTTGGTAACTCACAAACATGAAACGAAACCAGTAGAATGTACAACAGAGTAACCAGCTAGCAATTCAAAACTGGGCAACAATGTAAACATTTCACATCACATAACTTGACATTAAAAATAATTTCTAACAGACAGCATATTATTTAATTAGACAATAAAGTAAATATGAAATAAAGATGAAATTGCAATAAATATTTTTACATTTTTATTTGCTAAATTATTATACATATCAATAACTTGTTTATATATTTTGTTTTCTTTTCTAAAGTGTTGAAAATGTCCTCTTTCTTGTAATCTACTTGAAAAAGTAATGTTACTGGAGCTCTTAAAACCTGAACTTTTTTTCATGTATATTACAAGAAAGATGATATTTTCAACGTAGGCTACTAATCCTGGGATAAAAATAAAATTACATTCACTTGAGGGAAAGCTATCAGGAAGATTACATTCCCTCATGTAAAGTTGCATTTCCTCATGAATTGTTTTTTATTTAATTTATGCAGTATGTTCAATTTCATTGGTCTTAACTATAAGAATACAGATGGATCATGCATTCCTGATTGGGAAAGCCAACTAAAAAGATGAAATTCCTCAAGCAAAGTTAAATTCTTTGGGAATGTGGGAATGTAATATTTTGATCCCTGTAACCATTCAGTTACCTAAGTCTAATTACTAATTATTTACTAATTATCTTTACCATATATTAAGTTGATGTATTGTTCACTGATAATTAATAATTGGACTAAGGTGATTTTAAATACTGCTAACTTGGACAATGATTTATGTCCAATTACCACAACCTTACCACACATACTTAATTATAGAAATTATTCAAAGATTTGAAAAAGTATTAATTTTTTCAAATAAAATTGTTTGATTCTATTTCACATTGCTAATATTTATTAATATATTAATATGTGATACTTATAGTTGGTCCATACTTAACTAAATATTACAATCTTGAATTCCTACTTTATATATCTACTTTATTAATTGTGTCAGGTGAGTAACCTTAATTTTTAATAACTAATAACAAGTCAGTTTTCAATATTTTATCAATAAAATGCTGTGAATGTTAGAGCAGATTGTTTTTTAAATCTACTTTCATAATGTGTGTTTTTAAATTTATTCCTACAAATTTGAATATCATCTAACTCTATGATACTGTTACGTCTCTGTATGTTTGCTTGTTAATTCTTCTAAGATACAAGTCCTTTCTTTATAAAACTTGTTTTATTCTT